GTATTGAGCTTTTGACAAGTAAGCAAATAAGAATATTTCCAGAATTCAAACTATTGCTTTAACAACCTGAACGGGAATGGGGTATTATAACTGAGCAGACCACGGAGTCATTAAAATTAAACAGACTCACAATCATCCAAATATCATATTTGGCTTTTGATGTTTGATGTTTAACTTTCATGACTTTATCCAAAGCACACAAAAGTGTACTTCAAACTAGATTAGAGTAATGGCAACCGCAGAAAGAAACGCCTAGATGGAGTTTCTGAATTGTGAACAAGTGCTGGCTGTCAGTTTGGTTTGCCAGCACCGTCCTGATAAACACAAAGGACAACAGCAGCTTTAAGTTTCTTCAGCTGTCACCAAGATTACAGTTCTGCGCCCCTATAAGTGAACTGCTGTGCATTATTTAAAGTCTGACAAAATAATCCCAACCAGATTGTGGGAAATGAGCCCAAAAAGCAAGCATTTTATGGTCCGGCGTGCTTCACTCAACTTACAGGGTTTTGAAATGGAGCCAAAACCTGTAATCCCAAAATGATGCCAGGTTCCCAAACCTCTGTACAATTAATGAGCAACTTGTGATTCCATGGGACTTTGTTTACAAGCCCAAGTCTGCTTGTAATTATGCAACGTGAATATAAACAAGTCCACAAATTTCGGAAAAAGTCTACTTGGTCTATTCATTTTGGTAATGACCAAAGCGAACATGGAAGCATGTGCTCTAAAAACAAGACAGAAAAAAAGAAAAATCGATTGAATGAAATGTGCAAACACTCTGCATAAGAAGCAAATGTTAATGCTGTTAAAGTTATTTCTTTTCTTCTTCTTTTTTTTTTAAATCGACTCTTAAGATTCATATCAGGACACTCTACAGCACACTGACAGCGATCCAAGCAACTCTGTGGACAAACTGTCTGTCTCTGTTTGTTTAACTGTCTGTTTAGGAGGAATTTTAACCAAATTCCAGCTGGAATTTGTCTAAATTGAATTGTGGCCAGGCTGCAGAGGGCAGAGCAGCTGCAATGGTACAGTCAACAGACGGACCAAGGGAGAGTGAAGGAAAATGGTTTGGCTCTGGAGCCTTTACAACAAGCTCAAACAGGAAGTCATTCAACACAAAACGCACACCCATGACAAAACAACCACGCGTGCACACAGAGCACGTGCGCTTGTGTGTGTGCAGACAAGCCCGATCGCAGACACATTCCTTCCTCCCCCGAGCATGAGTCAGTATTTGTGTGTGTGTGTGTGTCATTTGATGTGCCTACAGCAGACTTCCTAAAGGCCATTCAGAAACAGAGCTAAAGAAATCTAAAAACAATAAAAGTGGAAGAGAATACAGCAGCTGAATGAGTGACGTGTGTGAAATACAAGAGACATGAATTAACGGAGGAAAGAAAGAGAGAGAGGCTGAAGCTTGAAGGGATGGTGAGGGAAGAACAGGATAAAAATCGGAGACATGTTGGGGAAGGACAAAGTAATGAGGAAGAGAGGAAAAGAGGGGGGTCGAATGAGGGTTTTTCATATAAACAAACTGCACCGCCCTCAGGCACTTTCTGTATATGTGTGTGTTTCCTAATGCTTATCTCAGTTTGCTAAGTACTTAAAGGAATACACCAAGTCTGTGACACAGCTGGCTTAAAACTTTGGCGAACATCACTCTGAGAGTAAAAAAAATCACATTCAATATTCTTAAATATCACAGTTAATAAATGACAAGCAACCACCAATAGTTACAAAACTACTGGCTCGCTATTATTTTGGATTCACGCTCAATTTAAAGCAGATGACGTCCAGTTTAAACACACCTCTGAGGCTTTAAATCTGGAAAGCTGCATCGTTCTGTTTCTGTGTCGGAAAAGCAAAAAAAACCCAACTTTTAAATCAAACGCAATCAAATCAAAGCCGCACGCCTACATTTCCTTGTTTCCATTCATAAACTTTGAAATATATTAATTATCTGCCTGAAATGATTTTTATATTAGTACAAACAGGATGACTCTACTGTGCGTTGGGTGGGTCATTTTTGCCTGATTAAATGTTCAAAGACGGTGTGACAAAAGACTTTAAAGCCTTTTTGTTATTTCCCAGTAAAGATGAGGGCGGCTCTTTGTGCGAAAACAAAACATAACAAAAGAAAAAAAAGGGAAAATAATTCAACAAAAATACTGATATTTCAAACATTAATCGAAATATCAGTGTCGACTCATAACCGGTGCATTTCTTCATTTTTTTAAAAAGTGTAACCACAGGAAAACTTTGGGGCAACTGCGCCCCGAAGACCTTACTAATCGGAAGGTCGGTGGTTCATTTCCCGGCTCCTCCGGCATCTGCATGTTGAAGTGTCCCGGGGCAAGTTAATGAACCTCAAATTGCCCCATTGAATCCTTCAGAGTATGTGTGTGTTAGGAAGTACTTAAAGGCATAGAGTACAGCGCAGTGGGAATGGGCTTTGAGCGGTCGGTCAGTGCAGGATTCTGCAGACCTCAGCTGGGCTGCCATGTTCTTTTTAGAGAGAATAAGCTTTCTCCTGGCAACCCTTCCAAACAAAACACACTTGTTCAGTCTTTTTCTAATTGTACTGTTGTGAGCTTTGAACATTTGTAATGCTAACTGAGGCCTGTAGACTCTGAGATGTAACAGAGTTTCTGCCTTGCACTGCACAGTCTGACCTTGGGGTGAATTTGCTGGGATGTAGTTTCCTGTGAAGACTGTGTTACCCTTAACGCACACCTAGATGCTCCAGATCACTAAACTGCCAAAGCATCTGCTTTTACTCAAATGAAAATACCACCCCATTAACCATTTTGTCATTTACTAGTCCAAATATGCAAAATGTGCTTCTTCTTGAAGAGTTTCTTGCAATGGATAAATAAAACTCATCTTATCTTACGTCTGGGACAAATAAAGGCATCAATTTGGAGAGAAATGAAAGAAAATGAATGCTGACTAACGGCTTTAAAACTGGTAACCTTTGTTTTTTTTAGCTGTTTATTCTCTAAAACATTAGCAAACGGGCGTGTGTGTTATCTGTCCACTCAAGATGCCCATTTTGTCCCACTCATATGGCAACGATACCCAATGTACAATAACAGGCAGCTTCAAATCCTGCAATCGTAAAACTGACACCAGATAATGTTTATATGTTGATTTTGGTGAAATAACTTGCTATAAAACGGCTGTTTGCTTTAGCCTTATATTAAAATGAGAGGAAGGTGCAGCAGCACAAAACACACACTAACTCTTCGTGTTGTGTTAGAGAACAAACGGAAATCAAAGGGAGTAAGTTCAACAGCAGTTTGTCAGCCTTGAAGTTATTGCTGAAAGAATGCGGAGCTGAAAATATGCACAAAAGATACCAAACTTTTACTTGCTTTAACGCAGCATTTATCGTGCTGTGTGGAAAGGGAGGAAACTGAGATGCTCGTTGACTCTCTGCTGGCCAATTAGAAGCATCTTTTTCACTCACAGTCTGACTGTGTGAAAGAAGCCGACCCGTGTTCCTGAATAAAACCACCGAGTCTCTCGCTTTCTTTAAATATTAATACAGTCTGTTTCATATCTAAGAACCTTTCTGGACACAGACTAGCCGATTTTAATCCTCAGAGCAAACGTGCAGAGCGTTCCTCTGCATGTTTTAGTAGCAACAGGCCCTCTTGTGTCGCCGTAACTCACTTGTTGACAGCGGAGGGAAAAAACGGCAAACGGAGAGGAGCGAGAGACAGACAAGGGCACGCACATATTTTTAAGTGTTCACACACTTAATAAGCGGCATAACCATTTCCTGGGTATTCCCTTTGAGAGACAGAGAAACAGAAAGCTAGTGTGTGAGAGAAGGGAAGGAAATCAAAGGGAGTTCAATGTGTTGCGTGACGAGACCCTTTCCATGAAGGCCTGAAACATACACACACCATTTTATTGTGATGACATGTCGGGCTGTGTTGCTTATAAGTTGTCTTAGTTTCAAACACTCTTGTGGTTCTTTTTTTTTTCGCCCTGTTAAATTGCACTTGGCTGAAAGTTTCTCTGCGTCTTGTGTGTCAACACAACTACACCATGTCTGCAAAGTGCTGCTATGATAACGGCTTTATTGGAGTTACACACCTGCCCAGCAGCGAGATTGTTGATGACCTGCACCGCACATGGATAAACACACTGTGGTGTACACAGTGCGAGCAGCTGTAATATAAATCCAACCCACAGGGCCTGCAGACTGAGCCCTTCAG